AAAAAGAAAAAGAGGCCTTTAGGTATAGAAAGGATTTCTTAGTAATAGAGTCAGAGAGGAAAGGTTGTTTTTTTTTTTAAAACATTAAACCTCACCTATTTATATTAGAGATAACGCGTTCGTTTGTGTATATTACGTAATCTTACACGTCTTACATATATGCAAAAGATTATCAAATCTATTGCTAGGTATTATAATGCTTGTCAGCTGACCGGCCATCATTAACTGTGAAAAAGTGGTTTTTTTTATACGTGCTTGGCCAAACGTACGATGCAGCAAAACAAACCATTGGTATACGGTCTCAACCTGACCTCTAGAAATTCATCTGCACAACCTCCAAAACTAAAAAGAGCATTAATTTTTGATGAATCCGACGACCAAGATTCCAATGGGTTTACTGACATTCGCAAAAACGGTAGTAAATCTAACACGAAATCCTACACGAAAGTCATCAATAAGCAAATATTGTCTTCAAGTTCTACAAGTCAATTAATTCATGAACAGTATAAATAAGCATTGAAGATCCCATTGCTTTTGCATACAATGAAGTGTATGATGATATGAAAAGTGTCGAAAGGGAAAGATTAGAGGATATCAAAGGAAAAGATAAAGGTCGCAATAAAAAGATTTTTGCATTAATTTTTTGATAGATCTTTATAGCATTGTAATTTATTATGAATATTCACGATATTTTTTGCTTGCAGTCAAAATATGTTGATAGTTTATTGAAAGCCGCCGAACTTCGACAGCGAGATTATATTCGAGCACAAGATACAAAAAGAACGAGAAGCTGAAGGAGACGAATTCGAAGGAATGGAAACTTTCGTAACACCAGCGTAGGTCCATCATGCTCGAAAATTATTGTTCGTTTCTTTACTTATACGTTAAGTACTATTTAATCGTGAACAGATATAAAGTACAACAAGAAGAGTTGAGGAAGAAAAAAGGTTGCGAGGTAAATGAATAAAAATGGATTATGTTTATATTTAAATTGGTCACGACATTTACATCAATGATCGTTTTGTAGAAGAGAAGGATGCAGCTGGAGCGAAAGATATGGCATCGTTTTATAGGAAATTATTAGATCAAACTAGTTCATCAAAAACTGCAGCCATAGAACGATAGAAGATGATTCTACCGATCAAAAACCAAAAACTGACAAGGAGCTTGCAGATCAAGCAAGAGTGGCTGGTAAAATGGTAATGTTGAATGATGATGAACAAATAGTGGACAAACAAAAACTTCTGTCAACTGGATTGTATGTTATAAAAAAGAAAGCTTTTATATCATGATTGTCAGATGATTTATCTCGCAATAGGTCTTATAATTATAATGATAGCAAAAGATATGATAATAAATATAATTCCAAGAATAGCGATGAAATGTGTCGTTGTGAGAGGCAAAGTCGAAAATTAGAAAATCAAATTTTAGAAACTCAGCGAAAAAGGGTGGAAGAAGAAAAGCTTAATAAGCAAGAGTTGTTAAGTAAATTGAAAAGAAAGAATAATGATAAAGCGATTTCTGATGCAAGGGCCAGATATCTGTCTAGGAAAAAAAAAGAATAATAATTAAGTATTATATGCTACTTCTGATCGTTGATTTTACGGAATGATTCTCGTTAAAGAACTTTGTTATTTTATAGGAAACCTTTCGTACATACAGCATAGTTTTATTCAGTGATTTGATTTAAAATACTATAGTATTATTAATTTATGCAAAAATTCTATACTGGTAAGAAAGATAAGATCACAGTGTTGATATTCGGTCAGCGAAATTCTACGAAGAGGTTCAAAGTTCACCTATTATTCATGTCAAGATTATATATCTTTTGATAACACTCACCTGAAAGAGATTGGTATAGTGGTTGACGAATTTTATCCATTGCATATCGGGAACATGTGCAAATCTGCGTCACAATTTTTAATAAATCTGCTATGCCGGATTTAACTTATGTGATCTGATCATTTTTTTATCCCAAACACCGTATAGCATGGTCTAAAGTATCCCCTCGTAGGATATTTCCAGCTTACATATGAACATTTTAATGGTGCATATCACATCTATTTATATAAACAATTAAATTTGAGCATGAATATAAATAAAAAAGGTTTTTTCGTAATGATTATTTTGAAAGTTTTTTTGTATGCATTAATATACTGTAACTTTAATAAACATTAAATTACACTTATTTTTGTTAAATAAAGTATAATAAGCTTATAATATTAAAGAATATATAAAATAGGCAGATTCATAGAATATAGAGATATATAGAATGAGGTTTGTGTGAAATCAGATTTTGTATGTAAAGTCATGCAAATTAACTTTAGATGCATAAAACTATTTCTAATTATGTAAAAAATAATTTAGGTTGTGTTAGATTAATTCAAGTATTGAAAAAATAACTTATTGTATAAGATAATTAGCATTGTAATGCATGATAAGTCTAGAGTTACTAATTGTTGCATATTAGATTTTCAATAGATTAAAGATAAGACTTTAATTCTTACAGATATATTTAAAGACTTGGCAAAGTAGTAATCTGCAATCTCTTATTTCATAGATAATACAAGATGATACAATCTTTCAGATTACAATTTCTTTAGTAGCATCTAATCAAGTTATGGAAAACAAGAAACAAATAAGAATGTATTATTATTCTAGTCTAAAGATATAGACTTTTATTCAATATATATTATTTTTTTTCTATTTTTAACAATTAGACTATGGTTTAAACAATTTAAATTTAAGCTTAACTACTCAAGTTATATTTATATCTCTAGATATATATAGATTGTATTATGTATAGAGTTTTAAAAAATATCAATCTAATATTAAAGTAATATTAAAATAGTATTGATCTATAGTGAATTTAATATATAACATCAGGAAATTTTTTGGTGGAGATCTCCGGAGATCTCCATCCATAACAAAATTTTCGAAAATTTCTGGAAAAAACTTCGAAAATCTTTAAAAATTCTTGAAAATTTCTAAAATAAAAAATTTTA